GTTTGTCACGCGACACGAGGCCTTGGGTTGTAATGCTATAGCTCAGTGAATTCGCAAGTCGGCAGTCGGCCAATATTTCGGAAGGATCTTCCCGAAGATTACGAAGATGCTGAACTAGCTGTGGTCCCCGTCATGGAAATTTGTTCCTCTGCTGGGGGCTTGCTACTGCCAACTGGTCGTGCTGGTCTTTGTAGATGCATGCCTTCTGCGCTGTTTTTGGTGTAGTCTTGCTGAGGAGGCAGGCATCGTCGAGAGCTATTGGGTTATAGAGATCCCCCATCTTCGACTACTGAGCACCATGACTGAAGGCTGGCCGTTCATCCCGACATTCTCATCGTGATTTGCCAGCTTACAGCTGCAGGCAATGTGACCGACATCACCGACAAGCCATTCGTGCAGATTTGGCAAAGCCCGTGGCAGCTGGATTTGGCCACCGTCGGGGAGGCTGTTGGTTTTCTCGCATCTGCTATTTGCGTGTATCGGTTTGCATGTCCACTCAGATCATCGGTGAGCTGCGAACCAGCACACTTGGTGCCACAGCCTCGGTCAAGACTCTCGAACGAATCAACTGCAAGGGATGTGGCAGATGACACGTGTGTTTGTTTTTTTGCGAGTGCGGAACGGAGGCCCGTTTACTGCAGCCCAAGCCTTCATATCTTCGACGTGTTGGCCTTGGGTTTGCTTGCTCCTTGAGATGTCGTGCGATATGGTATTTCTTTATCTGCCCGTCAGGGTTTTCGAACACGAATCAAGGTTTTTTTAGGGTTCTCGAGGTTTGTCAGGGATTCCTTCAGAACGGACTTGACCGACATGGACTTGCTGGCAATCCAGATCTGCGTACCCCTTTGAAAGACATGTGAGAACGCGTAGCATCTCCTAGAAATGTAGCTATTGCTGGCCAAGGTGTTGTCATCTCCAGGAGTTGCCACCGATGCTGAGGTTGACGATTCGCTGTTCTCTTGCAACATGTATTTTGCGGGCAGCCTCGTCCGTCGCTCCAGGGGAGGGCCTATATGCACATCCCTGATCATCAAGTTCTACCAGCACGCACCCTATGGCCATTGTGTTACGGTAACAGTACTTATTGTTTTACTCCACGGCGTCGGCTTGCATTCTGTATTTCAGGGCCTACGAACAGCGGGTCTGCACCGCCCACGCCGTTGTAGCCCCAGTCACGTGCGCCAATGTGTTGGAATGGGGAAGAGTTGCCCATTGTGGTGGAGCCGCTTAGGTGCCGAGCAGGCCGATCACTTCGTTACAAGTGGCGCTGCCTCGAGATCTGCTGGAGGCCGCAGTGCGGCACGGGGCTAAGATCGGACAATGGCTTCACGCCGTGGATGTTCCAGAAAATCCGAGGTGCAGCTTTGTCTTGCTGTAATTTGGCACCTGACTGCTGCGAGCCCCAAGAGGCTTCAGAGAGGGTCATTGGCATACTTGTGCCGGCTGAACTTCACGGGTCAGCTGCGAGGTCAGAATAGGTCCATACAAACCAAAACCCGGCGCCAGACCAGGCCGTAAGAACGGATTCGGATCGCATGCTCAACCTTGACGGGTGCAAGTTGAACGACCAAACTTTGGAATGGTGTCGGCTCTTTCACTGCGTTAGATTCGCTACCATTCCGCTCGCACAGACCTGAATGTGTTTGCTTGCGACATTCTGGGCTGGACAGTTTGCCATGAACCAATGCGTATGTCCGTTTCGAGATGCTCCGCGCCGAGAGCCTTTGTGCATGGAAAACAACGTGCAGCAGAGTATTTGCTCGTCCTTGTGCTTTCACTCCAAGCCTTGACTGACAGTGATGACCGGTGAGTTGTTATGTTTGTTGACTCCTTGTTTCTTATGCTGATGGGTCCGCCCTTTCTGGTTCAGAGCATGTGGTTGCCATCGACATGACAGTGCTGAGACGTCTGAACACGCAAAGTCCGTGTTGTTTTGTCGTCTAGGCTGCTTGCTTGGAACAGATGTGGAGGACTTCTATAGCATTAAGGCTAAACGTTTATGACAGGTTTTCCCAAGTCCAAGTTTTAACGGGCCGCAATGGGAAACTCTTGCTGTGATGGTGTTAACGAGGCGCTTCCGGCCAAATCTGCAGTTCCGACAAGAGCCTTCTACGACTTCCAGCTTTGTGCAGACTGGCACGTGTCACAGCAGTGCCCACTTAGACTTGATCTTGTTGCGTCCTTTTCGTGATGGCAGCTGTTCACCGTTCTCGGTGTCACTTGTCCAGGCCGAGACCGAGTTCGTCCAGGCCAGGAAGCTCAAATCGGAACATCCGGGTGACTTTCTTGGCTTCAGAACCCTAACCTCGCCTGGCATGTCCGAGTCGTGAGAGCGTAAAACCATCCTAGGCCCTGTTCTCTCTTGATATTCTTTGACGGTTCAGTTATCTCTTGCAAATGCAAGGAGTGCCGGTCGGAGGGCTAGGCGCAAGCTGTAGGAGGGGATGAGCACTTGCACTTCTGTGGCTTCGTGTGTTCTGGAGCGGGATTCCTCCAAGTTACGAAACGTGTTACTGTTGCAAGTGTCGACCCAGCGGATGTTTTCCTTGGCATATGCGCACAGAGCAACAGACAGTTGCGGGACAGCAGATTCGTAGATTCGTGCTACGAGGCTCGGGGGGTCTGGCGCTAAGATGCCCTGATATGTTGAGACTTTGCCGATCCTGCCTCGCGTAAGGCCAAGGCGCATATACTACCAAGCAGCACGGGTTCCTCAAGCGTGAGGGCCTTCATTGTCGTGAGATGTCAAGAAGCTCAAATGTTAATTAGAAGACAGACCGAGGGTGGGCTTTGGCTGATGTTAGCACTCGGCGTCTCCCTGGCATTCAATCTGGAAAGTTTGCTTTTGGGAGCCATGCTGTTGAGAATCTGGGGCCTGTTCGGGCAGGCCGCACAGGAGTCGCCCGGAGGATGCAATCACAGGACTTGTTTCGAAGTCGCTGAATGCTGCCCGTCGGGCCGTACTTTGTTGAATGAAGACGTACTTGACTTTGGGCAGCAGGACTGGACACAGTTCTGAACTACCCCGAGTGCTCGGAGAAGTTGGAACACCAGCGGCTTTTCCGGAAGCAATGTTCCCGGAGCCCCCTAGCGGCAGTCGTCAAGGTGCATCTCATGCCTTGCGGATTCGGAAAGTCCTGCCTTCCAGGTTTACACTGGAGATGTCGAGGCTTCTTCCTGTAGCTTGGCACCAGTCAGTTGTTGTTCTGGCGGTCTTGCGGTTTTGCTATTATGACTAAATGTGCACCAAGGTGCAAGAGTTCGCAGACTACCGGGCCACCTGCAAAAAGCATTCGGAGACCCAGGCACAGGCCTGAGATGCTGTAAACTTTTCCGTGTCAGACGTGCTGGCGCCAAGGCCTTCCAAAAGATGCAGCGCATTCACCAGCGCTTGACAAAGATGGGGAGGTATGGGTGTGCAGTATGCATGCAGCGCCGCATTTGTTGCCAGTGTCTGGGTTCAGGTGCGATCTCCTGGCGAAAGCCCTTCGAAATTCCCTGTCTGCAGAGAAGCTGGCGGAGCTTGCAGAACAGAATGGTTGGGCAACTGCGTCAAATTTGGGGCCCAGAAAGCGTGCAATGAGGTGCGAATGGGGAGGCTGGTTCACAAGTCCGTCTTCCTGGACAGTTTGCTCGTGGGACTTCTGTTCCCGACCCAGTGATGGTGAACATCTCTGTTGATCAATACCGTGCTGATATGCCTTCATCTTGAACGGTTGGAACTTGGGAGCAGGGCACCCGGCCGGAGTCCATGCTCGTGACGAGCCGCAGAATCTGGAAGACGAAGAGCAGCCTTGGCCCTGGAAGCAGACGCACAAGATGTGGTGTCGAGAAGCAGAACTGAGCAACGATGGTGTCTGTGATACGGACCTTGAAGATCCGAGATGCCATGCGCGGAGGGAGCCAAAAGGTGAGCCACCGTGTGGGGCTTCTGTTTATTTAGGGCCGGAACCACACCCCGGAGTTCGCCGCCCCCAAGCCGAGTGGAACGTACCTCAGCTCTCAAGCTTCCTCGTCCTTCTTGGGTACCTAAACCTATATGCCTGTGGCCTATGGGTATTTCAATCGCCACCTGACCTCGGGCTGCTCGTTCTCAGTAGCAGACCTTTTGCGACACCCCAGCGTTCATCTGACAAGTTTCATTGTTACTGGCTTCGATCAGCGCGCCAAATGCTCAATCAAGGCCTATGACCTATGAGTTCGCTTCGCTGGAACTCTCCGTGCACAAAGTGTTATTGCAAAGTGCAGAAGCAAAGCTCAAGCCCAGCTGATGCTTTTCCGTTTTCTCGGTGCTGGGATTCCTGTGCATACTGCGACGGTGTGGGCTCAATGTCGTTCGTCTCACACCCCCGTCTTGTCTTGCTTTCGCGGCCACCTGTTTCTCGTGCTGTCCCCCCTCCTGTCTCCAGAATATTAGTTCCCGGGGCCATGGTGTGGCACACTTCTGGCCCGACATAATAAGAGCTAGGCTAGCTTCGGTTCGAGCGAGCCTCGTGATCAGGTGACGGTACTAATGCTGATGAAGGCCTTCCAGGGATCGTTTAGCTGCAGAGGAAGTGGCTGATTGTGGTCTGGTTCGCGCGAGTTCCTCTCGCAAGACGCACGTATCTCCTGGCCCAGACAGCAGAGAGCAAACTTGCCCGTAGTGCCTTCAGCTGCCATGCTGATGCGGATAGTGTTGAGATTCCTTTGCGCATGCTATGTGCCTTGCAGAAAGAAGGCCACTGAAGCATCGTCGCGAGCTCAGACCAGTTGTTCAAGTTTTGAGCTTGATCAGGTACTTGCTCATATCTGCTTAAGTGCACTCTGCACAACTTCGGTTTTCTGCAAGCCGCACGATCCAGTACTGGTTTCGGTGCATTGCGCAGCTCTTCAATGAGAACTTAGTTTGCGCTGAGTCGCATTGTCACGCTGCAGAACCTCTTGAGCCGAGGAAACGAACAAGTGGCCGAGCCAAAACTCCAAAACATGCACATGCGGAGCTAGCATCCATAGAAATGGTGGATGCAACCACATGCACCTAGACTGCATCATCAGCAGTGTCTTCGTGAGAGAGACGGAAGAGGGGTCGCTCATGCAAACCTTTGACCGGGAAGGAAGCTGACTAAAGCTACCGTACCGTGGACACCGAGGATCTGCAGTGTTTGCGGTCGCCACTTCTGCTCCTTGCCAGATCTAGCCAGTGCACATTCCGCACTGCTTTCCCTCCCTCGCCTCAGGCTACATCTGTGGACAAGACTGGGCACTGCACAAAGGGCAACCAGGAGGCCTAGACGTCCAGACACTGCCGCTTGCTCTAGGAAAGAGCGCCTACTGTGAGGCTTCGACTACTACCAGTGCCGTCTTCCAGCATCTGCGGCCCAACTCCTACCTGAGCTGTGCAAACCCGCCTTGTTCCCACCAACTTCCCGGACCCAAGGGCGGCTTTTCCGGCGTGGCTGGCCCCCAAGCTCCGACAGCCGGGGCTTCCGCACAAGATGCCAAGCTGCGCCTTGCTTTTCCAAATGGGAGTTTCCGAAAATTAAGGGTACTCGTACCTCATTTTGGGTCCTTGTAATCAGAATCCTTCTATTTGGGCTACTATATTTGGGTCCTCCATTTTCGGAAACCCCCAAATCAGACAGAGACAAGCAAGGCAGAAGGAAGTGCAGGCCAGTGAAGCACGGTACCTGTGACGATCTTGACCTTTGTCAGGTGGAAGTTGCAGAGGGAGTGCTTACCAGGCGTGCTCCCGTGCGACAATGAATGGCATGACCTCGTCCTTTCGTAGCCGGACAAGCTTCAGGTGGCAAAGGCAGTGGAGCATGTTTGCTTGTGCCACACATCGATGTTTCTGCATCGCATCGGGTTTTTAGAGGATGCATGGGACCTATGAAAATGTCCAACTACCTGTTTGGGGGGGAGGGGGGGGCATGGCCGAGGCCAAAAGAGCATTTCCGAAAATAGGGGTCCCTAATATAGTGCCCTCAATAGCCGTAGTGTAAGGACCCCCAAAACAAGGTACCCCCTATAATTCTCAGAAATTCCCAAGTGGTGCTTCCTTCGCGATGTCTGAAGGTTGGACTGCCAACGAGCGACAACCTGAGAGGATGACGCCTGTCATCGAATTCAAGCTTTGGGGGTCCAGCGGTGGGTGCGTGCTGCCGCCCGTGCCCCCCGAATGCTTGTAGGTGATCAAGGTAGGGGACTCGATGCTCCAGGGAGGTAGCTGCAGGAAACTGCTTCGACTGTGAAGTGGTGTCGTGTACCGGATTCTTCGCTCAGATCTGCATTGAGGCCTTAGGGTTTGTAGGCTTTCGGGTTTGGGGACCCGTAATCTGATACCATTGGACATGGTTCTCTGAATGGCGCCCTCGATCCGCTTAGCATCACGGCCTGATCCGTTACAAGTGATCCGATTAGTGGGTCTGCCGTTCCAAGGAAGCTTCTTTTCCGAGCACTTCTGGTGCTGGCAGAGGCGGAAACATGGAGATGCCACATGCCCGCTGTACGCACGATTGGAAGTTTTCTGCGCCAGGAGTTTGATTTAGGGATCAGCATTCAAGAGCCTCGCTCCGGAAATGATGCCGAGCCTCAGCTGCAAAAGAGCTTCGCCCGCCCGCAGCAGGCTTCTTTCTTCGCAACTGTAGATTGATGTTTCTGCACTTCGGCTGTATGCTACTTTTATGATAGCATTACCGTATGAGTTGCGGTCTGCTGTCGACGATCCGCAACAGGGCCAGAAAGACTCAACCTTGACATTGCCGCGACTGCGGTTTCAGGACTCTTTCGTGTCGGCGCTGTCGCGCGAGTCACGCGGCTGCCGCAGCTTGGCTTGGCACTCACCCTTCCCCCATCCCGAAAAAGATAGCAAACAGCCATCCGAAAGAGCTTACGGATCCGAGATGTAACCACGTTTGACATCTGGAATCGCATCGAATCTTCGAAGAAGAAGGGTCCTTCCTCCTGCCGCTACGGAAGGACAGGCAGCCTGGGAAGGTTTGCTCGCCTGCATCCAGGAGCCGCAGCTTCGCTGCTGGAGAACTCTTTTTCAGAGTGTCGCAGGCTGTCGCTGTGTCAGCTGACGAAGTGTGGAGTGCCGCAGGCTCGACGCTGCTTGCAGAACTGCTACGTCTTGAAGTACCACTGGCCTTCGGAAAGCTGGCGGCGAAGTCGCCTGCAAACCTGGGTGCCAGAGCTGGAGGGTCTTGTCACTGAGCGGCATTGCACCTCTCTCCCCGTTTGCGCCCCCCATCTCCGTGATCCGACCAGCTCTCGCTTCCAGCGTTTGCAGCCTGCTTCCGGCGGCTTCGCTTCGCTAACTTCGCCAAGGTCGGTGCCTTGGAGTCGGCCTTGGGCCTGACGATGCTGGAATCACAGGCCATTCGGGCAGGCTTCCCTGCCGATGCCGCAGCTGCAGCGGCTCGTCTTGACGATGCTGGGCCATGCCAAGTCCACTCAGAATCCATGCTGGCGTTGACAGGCATCTACGAACGTTCCAAAGTTGCCTCAACAACCTCGGGACGTGGTGCGCCTGCTCGATTTGAGGCCAGGTGAAGCGACAGCACGCCATGAATGTTCCTCAAAATCGCAGAATCCCTACCTGCACCACCCCTGCATGAATTGATTGCAGCAAATCTCGATCCAGACCCAGAGTCTGTCAGGCATCTGCTTCCACAAGCGATTGCCTTTTGCCTTGCATTTGTTTCATCCCGCGTCCATCAGCGCGTATCTCCACGAACTTGGCGTGATGTTGGTCGATGTCGTGTTTCCGTTCAAACGAGGCAATTTCTGAGGCCATGGGTGCACTACGCCAACTGGGGACAGCCGTGTCTCTGCAGACCGTTCGGCACTTGAGTACTCAGAAGAGCTAGAAAAGTACGCTACCGCATAGACGCTGCTTCGCAAGAGCCGAGGCTCGGATCTTATCCGCTGGGCGAACTGGATTTCCAGAAGCTCGTCTCGTCTTTAGAGCATCCGTTGATCCTGAACCCTGCATTTCTCCTGCATTGCGCCATGTGTTTCAGGAAGTCGGATACTTCGAAGACGTGTGGAATAACTTCAACCCGGAGCGGACCCCGAGCCGATCCCGATCAGAGAGATGCCCCTCGGGCTGAACTGAACCTGTGACCGTTCGGGGCGCTCAAGTTCCGGCTCCTCCCCTCAGGTTCTGTGATGTGACGCCGCTGGACGGCACCAAGTCCAAGCTGGCGGCTGTGATGTTCCTCGTGATCTACGATTGTCTGAATCCATCTTAGGGCCAGGACAAAACTGTCAGGCCTTGGGGTGGACGCAAGACAAGCGTTGATGCTGCTATGTCTCGAACGTGTACAGGAGACCGCGCATGAGAACGTTGGAAACGGGTCAGGGGTGCTCTCAGCGAAGATTCACACGTAAACGAGGGCTTGTAAGAGCATCAAGATGCAGCAAAACATATGCAAACACAGGTAGTGCCCGAACGGAGATGGCAAGAAATTAAAGCTAGCATGGAGATCCAAGTAATTGCAGAGTAACAGAGAGCTGGGAGCCTTAGCTTCAATGGCCAGCACGCAGCAAAAGGCAAGCCGTTCTTGAAATCTCACAAGCTTGTGGCTCATCAAAGTTTTCATGCATAGCATGTGGATATGTATATGTAGATGCGTGTATATATATATATATATAGATAGATAGATATAGATATAGATATAGATATAGATATAGATATAGATATAGATATATATGTATATATATATATATATATATATGATTGAAGATCCTTCCTGTATAATGTGACCCAGTGGGTTCCCCAATAAGCAATGCTCATCATTGAATTATCCGAAATGAGCTATTTCACATAATTCGGATAATTTGCCTATTTCGGAAACTTTCCGAATTATCCAAGTTGTCCGAATTATCCGAAATGAGCTGTTTCACATAGTTCGGATAATTTGCCTATTTAGGAAACTTTCCGAATTATCCAAATTATCCGAATTATCCGAAATGAGCTGTTTCACATAATTCGGATAATTTGCCTATTTCGGAAACTTTCCGAATTATCCGAATACTGCGAATTATCCGAAATGAGCTATTTCAAGTAATTCGGATAATTTGCCTATTTCGGAAACTTTCCGAATTATCCAAATTATCCGAATTTTCCGAAATGAGCTATTTCACATAATTCGGATAGTTTGCCTATTTCGGAAACTTTCCGAATTATCCAAATTATCCGAATTCTCCGAAATGAGCTATTTCACATAATTCGGATAATTTGCCTATTTCGGAAACTTTCCGAATTATCCAAATTATCCGAATTCTCCGAAATGAGCTATTTCACATAGTTCGGATAGTTTGCCTATTTCGGAAACTTTCCGAATTACCCAAATTATCCGAATTCTCCGAAATGAGCTATTTCACAAAATTCGGATAATTTGCCTATTTCGGAAACTTTCCGAATTATCCAAATTATCAGAATTCTCCGAAATGAGCTATTTCAAGTAATTCGGATAATTTGCCTATTTCGGAAACTTTCCGAATTATCCAAATTATCCGAATTTTCCGAAATGAGCTATTTCACATAATTCGGATAATTTGCCTATTTCGGAAGCTTTCCCAATTATCCAAATTATCCGAATTCTCCGAAATGAGCTATTTCACGTAATGCGGATAGTTTGCCGACTTTCCGAAATATCCAAATTATCCGAATTATCCGAAATGAGCTATTTCACATAATTCTGATAATTTGCCTATTTCGGAAACTTTCCGAATTATCCACATTATCCGAAATGAGCTATTTCACATAATTCGGATAATTTGCCTATTTCGGAAACTTTCCGCATTATCCAAATTATCCGAATTCTCCGAAATGAGCTATATCACATAATTCGGATAATTTGCCTATTTCGGAAACTTTCCGAATTATCCAAATTATCCGAAGTCTCCGAAATGAGCTATTTCACATAATTCGGAAAATTTGCCTATTTCGGAAACTTTCCGAATTATCCAAATTATCCGAATTATCCGAAATGAGCTATTTCACATAATTCGGATAATTTGCCTATTTCGGAAACTTTCCGAATTATCCAAATTATCCGAATTCTCCGAAATGAGCTATTTCACAAAATTCGGATAATTTGCCTATTTCGGAAACTTTCCGAATTATCCAAATTATCCGAATTCTCCGAAATGAGCTATTTCACATAATTCGGATAATTTCCCTATTTCGGAAACTTTCCGAATTATCCAAATTATCCGAATTCTCCGAAATGAGCTATTTCACATAAGTCGGATAATTTGCCTATTTCGGAAACTTTCCGAATTATCCAAATTATCCGAATTCTCCAAAATGAGCTATTTCACATAATTCGGATAATTTGCCTATTTCGGAAACTTTCCGAATTATCCAAATTATCCGAATTCTCCGAAATGAGCTGTTTCACATAATTCGGAGAATTTGCCTATTTCGGAAACTTTCCGAATTATCCAAATTATCCGAATTATCCGAAATGAGCTATTTCACATAATTCGGATAATTTGCCTATTTCGGAAACTTTCCGAATTATCCAAATTATCCGAATTCTCCGAAATGAGCTCTTTCACATAATTCGGATAATTTGCCTATTTCGGAAACTTTCCGAATTATCCAAATTATCCGAATTTTCCAAAAAGGAGCTATTTCACATAATTCTGATAAATTGCCTATTTCGGAAACTTTCCGAATTATCCAAATTATCCGAATTCTCCGAAATGAGCCGTTTCACATAATTCGGATAATTTGCCTATTTCGGAAACGTTCCGAAATATCCAAATTATCCAATTATCCGAAATGAGCTATTTCACATAATTCGGATAATTTGCCTATTTCGGAAACTTTCCGAATTATCCATATTATCCGACATGAGCTATTTCACATAATTCGGATAATTTGCCTATTTCGGAAACTTTCCGAATTATCCAAATTATCCGAATTCTCCGAAATGAGCTATTTCACAAAATTCGGATAAATTGCCTATTTCGGAAACTTTCCGAATTATCCGAATTATCCGAAATGAGCTATTTCACATAATTCGGATAATTTGCCTATTTCGGAAACTTTGCGAATTATCCGAATTCTCCGAAATGAGCTATTTCACATAATTCGGATAATTTGCCTATTTCGGAAACTTTCCGAATTATCCAAATTATCAGAATTCTCCGAAATGAGCTATTTCACATAATTCGGATAATTTGCCTATTTCGGAAACTTTCCGAAATATCCAAATTATCCGAATTATCCGAAATGAGCTATTTCACATAATTCGGATAATTTGCCTGTTTCGGAAACTTTCCGAATTATCCGAATTCTCCGAAATGAGCTATTTCACACAATTCGGATAATTTGCCTATTTCGGAAACTTTCCGAATTAACCGAAATGGGCTATTTCACACAATTCGGATAATTTGCCTATTTCGGAAACTTTCCGAATTATCCAAACTATCCGAATTCTCCGAAATGAGCTGTTTCACATAATTCTGATAATTTGCCTATTTCGGAAATTTTCCGAATTATCAAAATTATCCGAATTATCCGAAATGAGCTATTGCACATAATTCGGATAATTTGCCTATTTCGGAAACTTTCCGAATTATCCAAATTATCCGAATTATCCGAAATGAGCTCTTTCACACAATTCGGATAATTTGCCTATTTCGGAAACTTTCCGAATTATCCAAACTATCCGAATTATCCGAAATGAGCTTTTTTTCATAATTCGGATAATTTGCCTATTTCGGAAACTTTCCGAATTATCCAAACTATCCGAATTCTCCGAAATGAGCTACTTCACATAATTCGGATAATTTGCCTATTTCGGAAACTTTCCGAATTATCCAAACTATCCGAAATGAGCTATTTCACATAATTCGGATAATTTGCCTATTTCGGAAACTTTCCGAATTATCCAAACTATCCGAAATGAGCTATTTCACAAAATTCGGATAATTTGCCTACTTCGGAAACTTTCCGAATTATCCAAATTATCCGAATTCTCCGAAATGAGCTCTTTCACATAATTCGGATAATTTGCCTATTTCGGAAACTTTCCGAATTATCCAAATTATCCGAATTATCCGAAATGGGCTATTTCACATAATTCTGATAATTTGCCTATTTCGGAAACTTTCCGAATTATCCAAATTATCCGAATTCTCCGAAATGAGCTATTTCACATAATTCGGATAATTTGCCTATTTCGGAAACTTTCCGAATTATCCAAATTATCCGAAATGAGCTATTTCACATAATTCGGACAATTTGCCTATTTCTGAAACTTTCCGAATTATCCAAATTATCCGAATTCTCCGAAATGAGCTGTTTCACACAATAAGGATTCAAATAATTCGGATAATTTGCCTATTTCGGAAACTTTCCGAATTATCCGAAATGAGCTATTTCATAATGCGGATAGTTTGCTTATTCCGGAAGCTTTCCGAATTATCCGAAATGAGCTATTTCACATAATTCGGATAATTTGCCTATTTCGGAAACTTTCCGAATTATCCGACATGAGCTCATTCACATAATCCGATAATTTGCCTATTTCGGTAGCTCTCCGAATTATCCGCATTATCCGAGATGAGCTATTTCACATAATTCGGATAATTTGCCTATTTCGGAAACTTTCCGAATTATCCAAATTATCCGAATTCTCCGAAATGAGCTCTTTCACATAATTCTGATAATTTGCCTATTTCGGAAACTTTCCGAATTATCCAAATTATCCCAATTATCCGAAATGAGCTATTTCACATAATTCGGATAGTTTGCCTATTTCGGAAACTTTCCGAATTATCCAAATTATCCAATTCTCCGAAATGAGCTGTTTCACATAATTCGGATAATTTGCCTATTTCGGAAACTTTCCGAATTATCCAAATTATCCGAATTATCCGAAATGAGCTACTTCACATAATTCGGATAATTTGCCTATTTCGGAAACTTTCCGAATTATCCAAATTATCCGAATTCTCCGAAATGAGCTATTTCACATAATTCGGATAATTTGCCTATTTCGGAAACTTTCCGAATTATCCAAATTATCCGAATTCTCCGAAATGAGCCCACATAATTCGGATAATTTGCCTATTTCGGAAACTTTCCGAATTATCCAAATTATCCGAAATGAGCCATTTCACATAATTCGGATAATTTGCGTATTTCGGAAACTTTCCGCATTATCCAAATTATCCGAATTCTCCGAAATGAGCCATTTCACACCACTCGGATAATTCGCCTATTTCGGAA